TGGATCTTTGGAGAGTTTGCCTTTTTGGAGCGCAACTGGGAGAAAGACTCACACAAAATTTCCACTGCCCTCAACAAGTTTCTCGACTACAAGTCGCCCATATCATTTCTCTTTTTTGCCGAGGGCACTCGATTCACCAAAGAAAAACATGAGAACAGCGTCAAATTTGCCAAGGAGAGAGGTCTTCCTGTACTTACCCACCACCTTTTGCCTCGCACAAAGGGATTCAGTTTTTCAGTTAAAACATTCAAGGAAAAATGTACGGTTTTAGTTTTACATTGTACACTTCCAGATTGATAACTTTTCATCTTTTTAGATCCTGAAATGTTGGTCTGTCAAATTGAGCTTCGGTTCCCCAAAGATTCGCCACCACCAACTTTCATGTCGCTGGTTAAAGCTCGTCCTTTGAAGCCTGACCTTTACGTTCGCTTTGTATCAGTGGGTGATATTCCCTCTGATACTGAAGAAGAAATGAACAACTACCTCTATGATCTCTACAAAGAAAAGGTGAGGGTTTTGTTTTATAAAGTGGCCTTTACTTAATTGATTTCTCTCTAGGATGAACTTGTTGAGTACTATGAAAAGAACAACGAGTTTCCAGGCATCAAGGTGGTCGTCCCGCCGAGACGAGCAACTCTCTACAACTGGCTTGCCTGGCTTCTCTTTGGATGCATTGTGATTCCATATTATTTGGCGAGCATTTTCCTGTACGGAAGCTGGCTTACCATTGGCATCATTTCATCAATTATTCTTTTTGGTACGTTTTGTGGTTTCATTTGTCTGTTGTTTTCAAATAATTTAATTGTTGTTTTTTCAGGAATGTTTTCTATCTACATGATGGTGAGCTCGACCAAAATCCAGAAAACCGGCTCAAAGTACGGCACTGGCAGTGCTAAAAAGTCTGAATAGATGTGAAGAATCAGTATACTTTTGATACGTTTATCTGTTACTAGTTTTCCATTTTTGATAATAATAAAAAACATTTTTGTGACTGAACATTTACAATTATGAACTTTTTCGAAAAATGAGTGTGTACTTTTTCATCCTCTGCCTATACCACTACGCTCTCACGTCATTTGTCAGGGGGGGGGGACGCCCAATTCTGGCGAAATGTCAAATTAAAAATCTGCTTACACGTTTTGCACTTTTAGTGCAAAATCAGTGCACTGCTTTAAACTGACTGAACAGTTTTCCCTGTTTGACCGGTTTACTTTGATCAGACTGGTCATTTATTGAAAAAGTTTGTACTGCTGTTTTCTACCAGTGCCTCTACCAGCTCGTACCAGTATCGGGTGCATTTTAAATTGCCCAGAAGCAGCAGCGGCAGCAGTATCACATGACTCAGGATTGGTAGCTATCACCAGATCGACTCCTCCTCATCTTCTGCCAACTCACACACTGCCATTTTCCGACAGCAGTCAGCAGACAGTGACCGATGCGAGCAGACGAGCCGTCGTTCCCTCTTCACCATCAGAGTGTCCTGGTCACCTCAAATTTCGTCCGGGATATGTGGTTCCAGCAAATATCGCGAGAAATCGAAGATTGTGAAAGCGAAGCCATCCTGTGCCAGTGAAGCAAGTTACAGCTACAGCTACTCCTTCAGCGCAGTCTCCGCATCGAGAGGCACAGAAGCACACACGCTCCGTTTGAAGAACGGATCAGCGTGCTCCTCACTCTCTCCTTCAATCGCACTTTCACTCTTTCCTCGCCCGGAATCCTCGTCGCCTCAAGTCAGCCACCATCGGCGCCATCATCATCTTCTCTCCTCCGAACACTCCCCTCTCCTTGGTTTGCATCGAGTTCGGTAGACAGTGGTGACAACGCCAAGTAGGCCGACGTCGCCAGTCTGCCGTAGCGTGAAAATGTTTTGATGCTCGCCCTGATGTACCTTTCCTTCGCCTGCTGCTCCTGCTTTTTCTGCTCCTGCCGTGATGAAGATACTGCCAGAGTCGTTGCATTGAGTCCTGGTCGCCAATCGTCAACTGCTCCCTCAAGTGTCCCCTTTCTCTTTCTTATCTCTCTTCTAAAGTTGTTATCAAGCTCCACCAGTCATCAGTCATCAGTTGTCCGATAACACTACTGGTCGACATTTGAATTTTAGTCTAAATCGGGCTGAATCAGCATGTCTATGCTTCGCTGCTTGTACCGTAGACTAAAGTTTGTCAAGTGCGCTCTAGGCGAACCTGGCACCAGTAGTATTCACCTGAAAGTGAGCACCAATTCACGAGCATCCTATCAGTGCATCATCACCCGGAACCTGCATGGAATGACGTGCGACAAGAACAACACGGCTGGCAGCTCAGAATCAGCTGCTGCTGTTGCCAATGGCAAGGCCGATAATTCGCTCGTTCGCAACGGGCTCATCGTCGACTCTGCCTTGCGAAGCGGCGGTGGCTCTTTTCTCAGCAATGGATACTACCGAACTGAGTGGGGACAACAGGGCAGCGGCAACCAGACGAACGGCGAAAAGGCCCGCCGGGGAAATACAAGCAAGTGCGAATTTGACTTGAACTTTATCAACGTCCGCCTTCTGGGATTGCTTGTAAGTACTTTCTTTCTTTCTACTTTTACTTCTTTCCTTGTCGCGACTTGTGATAATGATGCTGATCAATACTTTAGTGGGGTGTGCAAGAATGCCCTATTGATTANCTCTGTTTTTACTTCTTTCCTTGACGCGACTTGTGATACTGATGCTGATCAATACTTTAGTGGGGTGTGCAAGAATGCCCTATTGATTAGGTTGTTTAGTCTCTTCATCGAGATGCTGCTAACTAACGAGAAAGGCATCCTTTGCTGGCGTCATTTGTGCCTCCTATCCTATCCGACTTGTTTACATGCATGTGGAAAGTGGTGGTGGCAAGACACTGGCACAGGCACAGGGCACACAGCATCGGCAGTTTGAGCGGTCATCTGTAGGATATCGCTCGAGTGGCAGCCTAAAGTTGCAATTTGTCAGTGCAGCCAGCCAAATTAGTATATGGTGGCCCTTTCAACGGGTGCGAGCACATGCAGACATCACCAGCCATGTCTCTATCTATCTTATCGACAGCTGCGGCTGCATCTTGTGACTCTCGATTAGTACAGCAAACCAGTCTGTTCTCTCCGAGTTGCACTGCAGCTGATGCTGTCCTGTCCACTTGGCAGACAGCACTGGCCTGGTGCACCATAGCCATTTCAGCAAGCTTACCCTCATCGTTCCATCGGGACACCTTTCTTTTGTTATTATTCTCTGAATCGTGTGCACCACCCTTCCTGTATGGCTCTATTTTACGCTCATGCTATGTCCAAATATGCCATTTTTACATTTCAGATTGTCGCTAATAAACTTAAAGTACTATCAGCAGGATTTAGTTGTACAATTCCGATACTAAGACTTCTTGTTTATCCTTCCAGGGGACTGCCGTTGCAGTGGGGATCAATGTCAACTCGCACATCAACGATTGGATGCCCTACCAGAGTCGGGGCATCCACGACCTCTGTCACTACCAGCACCACCATCGCAAGCACTCGCCTTTGTACGGCGGTCCCAGCAGCGGCCCCAAAGCCAGCAGCACCAACAGCAGCGGCAGTGGTCAGTGTGGCGTGTCACCAACACCACTTTCGCGTGCCCTCGACTGTCTGCACACAAAGTCCAACAATGAGGCCAACAACTTCACCGGCAGCGGTACTTCAGCAAGCGCCCCCACCACTACCGTCATCCAGAGCTGTGGCTCCTGCCGCTCCTGCAGTGATCTTCTAAACAAAATCCTGCAGGTCTATTCGAATTTCCCCACCGTATCATCAACCAGCACCACCTCATCCATTGCCTCATCCATTCTCAATGTCCTTCCTCGAAGCGCCGCCCCAGCAGCCCTACCACCTGTTTTCTACGGCAACAGTCTTGGGGCAGTCAATCAGGCGGACAGCTCATCATCAGCTGATGCGGAGCACCTGTTTGCAGATGAGGTGGATGGAGGAGGCACAGTGGGAGTTGATCTGACGAGCAGCACTGGCCTGCGACGACTTCAGTTTGACTCGGTTTCCAACAGCAACAACAGTGCCTTCACCAACAAGCGCCGCTCGAGCCCAGTGCCAGAGCAGAAGCCAGAAAAGAAGCAGCAGCAGCCGCAGAAAAAGGAGGCTCGAGAGGAATCACCCCCTCCTCGAACCACCCAGCGCAAAAAGTCCATTTACCAAATCACCGAGGAGGAGAGCGAGCAGCTTCAGCAGCTGGCAGCCAAAAGTTCGACTTCAAGTGAGTCATCGGAATCAGATTATATTTCGCTCTCTGCATCCTCCGACGAATCAACAGTCTCTGCTGACGAGGCAAAGGTCACTCCTGCTCCGGTTGCTGCCACCAGCCAGTCTGCCAAGTCGCCTCCCTCTTTGTCCACATCTTTGTCCTCCTCCTCTTCCTCCTCATCGACCTCCACTTCAACCAGCGAGGATGAGCCCGACATTGCCACCGTCTTTCGACTTGCCTCCATTGAGTACGCCGACCAGCTGAACAATCTGGTGGCCATCTCGCTGATGGACACCCACCACCCGGACGAGGCGATGCAGTTTTGGTCGAGCTGTGAAGCCAGCTCCCGCGCCTTCTTCAACATGGGCGTCGCCTATGAGAGTGGTCGTCACGCGAAGCGAGCCAAGCCTGACCTGGACCGAGCTCACGACTGCTACGCTCTGGCCGCCTCCATGGGCCACCGAGATGCCATCTACAATCTGTCCCTCTTCTACCTCTACGGAAAGGGAAAGATTGAGGTCAATCTGGAGCGAGGACTGGAGCTGCTGGAGACGGCCGCCGTGAAGGGAGTCGTTGCTGCGCAGAAGTTTATCGTCGAACTGCGACGAACGCAGTTTATCGACGACCTCCGAGAGGACCTCCAGCGAACGCGCTCTCGAGTGGACATTCTCAAGAACCGCCCACAGCGCACCTCCAATGCCCACTTTCGCCCACCACTTCGCCCCAGTCCCTCGCTNACAATCTGTCCCTCTTCTACCTCTACGGAAAGGGAAAGATTGAGGTCAATCTGGAGCGAGGACTGGAGCTGCTGGAGACGGCCGCCGTGAAGGGAGTCGTTGCTGCGCAGAAGTTTATCGTCGAACTGCGACGAACGCAGTTTATCGACGACCTCCGAGAGGACCTCCAGCGAACGCGCTCTCGAGTGGACATTCTCAAGAACCGCCCACAGCGCACCTCCAATGCCCACTTTCGCCCACCACTTCGCCCCAGTCCCTCGCTCTTTGGGCCAAAAGCCACTCCCCTGAAGATGAAGCAGTCGACTGCGGCTCGGGAGGGCGATGCCGAGCACTCTTCACTGAGCAAGAAACGCAGCAACTCATTTCCAGATTTGATGGCCCTAAACGATTCGCCCAATGCCGTTGCCGCCAAATAGAAGGGCTAGGGGCGGAGTTAGGACAAAGGAACGCACAAGTCCCCATCTCCCACTCTTTTCATTAACTTTTCAGTTTTCAACATGTATTCTCTTCATCTGTCATTCTTTTTCCTCCTGGTCAGTCATTGAAGCCCTTCTTGAAGTCCTTCTCAATCCTGCCCCTCATGTCCTTCCCGGTGACTTCTCTCAGCTAGCAATGTTCCGCGGTGACCACAGGAGAGTCTGCTGATGATTCGGTTTGACTGAATGCTTGTGATGATGACGCTTGTGATCTCTCTCCTTTGCCGCCTGTTATTGTTGTTTTACACCCCCGAGCTGTGATGCTGTTGTCAGTTTGGTTCTCTCTCCCTCCCCCACTTCATTTTCGGCCATTGCTGACCAGTCCATTTTTCATACGCCCCATCATTTCTTATGCATTCTCCCCCATCTTTTTTTCATTCTTGTTATATACTCGCAAAACTGTAGTTGATAGATTGCACTCTATGATTCCTGCACTATTGTTAACGCCCGTATTCTTATCTACCCACCCATCTT